ATTTAAAATTCAATTTTTTAGATTCTTTGATAAGCAAGAAAAATATTAATTAAATAAGGAAACAATTTAATAAATATTAATAGTACCTCAATTTGCCTTGTTTGACTCGATCGATAACATTTTTGTTTAGATAAAGATGAGTCAATGTTGCCGGAATATTGTCGAAGACGGCATCACTAGAACTAATATTGTTATTGTCCAGGTATAAGTGAGTCAAGATAGGTGTTGTCATATAAAAATAAATTTGAAAATTCCGTAATTGACTGTTGCGCAGGTGCAGATGTTTCAAGTTCTGAAAAATCTCATATTCCTTCAAGGCTTCTGTAACAGGATCATGAGAATCTCGATTGTTGTCGATAATCAATGTCTGCAGATTGGCGCTTCTTGGCAACAATAATAGCTTCTCTTTCGAAATGTTATTCCCAGAAAGATCCAAATATTTCAAGTTCTGCATCTTGCGGAAGGCAAATGGCGAGATATCATTTATGTTATTGTTATCAAGGCTAAGGCTAACAACATCATTGCTATGAATAAAGTCTCGGCCGATTTTTTGAAGACCGACATTAGAAAAACTGAAGACATGACTATGAGGAGGGCACGAATTTGAGGGGAATGTTGAGATAGTGGAAACAGTTGTTTTTATGGGTATTGGTGTTCGTAAATCTGTCACAACAGGCCGATTTGTTATTGTCCAAACATTAGGCTTGAAATCCCAAGGAGGAATCTGATTTTTGTCATGTTGAGTCTTTGCTAGATACACAATGGTCAAAATGAAAAAAATCGTGAATTTGTGGCCTAGCATCATCTAAAAAAGAAAACACGAACAGACAAATTAATACGTAACGATAGTAAAAAAAATGAAGAGTAAAAGAGTAAAAAACGCAAGATAAATATGGATAATCATTATTGACAACCAATATAATAATATAAAATAAGACGAGCGAAAACAAAAAACGTTATAAAAAATTAAATAAAATTTAATATATATCCAATACGGTAAAATTAGCAAATACGTCGCTAATTTTGATGTGTTACACATATTAAATTTTATTTAATTTTTTATAACATTCTTGTTCATCTTCGATTTTTATATTATTATTTTTATTAAAAAAATACTAATTTAATATATTTTTATAGAGTAATAATAAAATTAGTTGATTAATAATATAAATTAATGTAAAAATATAACAAATAAAGTAATAATAAATTAATGTAGAGAAAAGTCGCCGATACTGACATAGATCTCCTAAAGTGACACCCCCTTATTTCCCAGAAATTAACTATTGCACTTTATTAATACTAATAAAATCATGATCTGTTTAGCTAATTAAAGAAGTACAAACTTATAATTCATATATTTGTAGCTTATTTCTACACCAAATCAGTTAAAAACTAATTCTATGAATCCGAGAAGAAAATTCTTAGAAGAAAGTTCTTTTGCAAATTGCGTAATATTATCAATAATACAATCACTATTAAAATAATAGTGACTGTATTATTGATAATATTATGTCATTTTAAATGTTTATAGTTTCATAAATTAGTTTTCTTTACAGAATAGAAT